TAGAGTAACGAACCTGTATTCCCTTGGATAACATACCGGGTTCCAGTTTAACATCTCACAAGAAACACATTTATATCTGGAGGGAACTAGAAGCGCAAAACATTTCCCTCAACATTAGGGAACATGACCGATATGGCGGGGCCAATGTGGGGGAAATATTCAACTGTATGGGGAGAAAAAATGTTCAGCGGACGTTCTTCCCTACATATGTTCGAAATCTGTCTGACCAAGAGATATTGAGATGAAGTATGATACCCTTACGGGAGGCATTTCAGAGGTATAAGTAGGATTTGCTTTCTTTTTATTGATGATAAAACTCGACCATAGCAAGCAAACCTGGCTGATGCGTTTCTTGAAACAAAAAGTATTGAGTAAAAAAGTGCCCAGTCAATTCTTTTTGTTTTAAATAACTACAGAAAACTTACGGTATATCTTTAGTAACTGCTTTTAGATATTTCATTAGCTTGAAGATTATAATCTATTCCCTTAAACTCTTATCATTTTAATCGCAGCATGATATTTCTTTGTGATATATGTGCAACGAGCTGATAATCACATTCAGTAGTAAGGCCTATTATTCCCTTCAGAGCAATCTATCTTTCTTACATTTAAATGCCACACATAGTTTCAGTATTATTTACATCATAAGAGAATTTTGTATCACATATATTCATATTAAGTTTTCAACACATGTATTTTTGTAATGCCTATATGAATTAATCAGGCGTATATGTTAAATATAATACTTAAAACAAGCAAAGGAAGAAGTAAGATAAGGTATTTAAAAAATGGACATCCATAGTTCACTAAATGCAATCTTACAGAATGCGAGTTCTAAAAAGAGGCAAACAAGATGCCCTTTTTATCCCCGGCTTCTCGTATTTTCTTGTAAAATCACGGGTAACGTAATGCCCTTAACATGTGCTAAAATAAATGTTTTGTAAAAAGCATGTAAATATTTACTACGGAATAAATTAAATAAAAATCACTTTCGGAGTATTTTCATTATTGATTTAGTTTTTGAGAGAAGTTAATACCTGCCATTCTTCAGATGATGAACATTAAGAAATATGGCAGGTTTCAAATTTTATGACGTGGCACATTTTACCCTAACATCGATAAGTTTACGTGACATTTGCTGCCTTGCTGACGCTCTGAACAGCCAACATTCTGTCAATTACACTGTAGCCGATGATAAATTAACTTAATCGAGACTTAACTGAGATATTTTTATTCTTATATTCAACAAGATAAAAATGACTTTTTGACAGTAACTACTATGGCAGCATCGTAAAATGTTACTGAAAAGAGCTGCAGTATGAGCATAAAAGTGCTGAAATTTAGCCCAAAAGAAAACATTATCTAAAATTACAAATATTCTAGAACATTTTGGGCTATTAGTAATATGTTTTACATATTTTTTGAATAAAGCAACAAGCATGAAACTCTTACTTATTGAATGACACTGGGTAAAGCTAAGTTACTACGCAGAAGCTTTCCGATCTGCAACTTAAATGCTAAGAAGAAACAATTAATTTTTATAACATTAATTTACGGATACTGAGTTATGGTTTAGAACTGTATTATTAATAATAATTAGCCCAGAAAACTTGCCATTCTTATGAAAAAATAAACCATAGGAACTCAGTCATTTTGCTGTTGATTCGAAACTAAACTCAGTTATTTTGTTGTTGATTAGAAATTAGACTTTAAAATCTCCAGTTTTTAAAAGAAATGGAAAATATGTATTTCAATGAATATGGTGTTTGAGTGAGGCATTTTTCTCGTTAATTTTTATACAGAGCGGGGATTCCAAATGCCAGTAAACTATGGAGGTTAGTGACTGTATCACCTGCTTAGAGGAGTAAAATTTGCAGGCGCAAGAGCCCTTTTCAGTGGATAGTGACAGAAAGAAAGGTTACCCCCAGATTTCACCCTCAGGAGTGTATTGATCCCAGGTAGAATAATGTGGAAGTACAAGCATTACATCCTTATTAAGTTGAATGCCTATAGCCAACGACAGATGCCTCAGTATTCCTATTCATGATTCTTCGGGGGTTTCAATATCTGGTACGACAACAATGAAATAGGGCAACAATGAAAAATGATGTTGAGTGTTGTAATGGAATACAGAGGTTGATAGAGCGTAAACTAGAAATTTAAACCAGGCAAAATAATACTTCTTTGAATTTTGTGTTTTTTCCTATGAACTACACTCAAAATTACCTCGCAAATTAGAGCAGCAAGAAGTGTAAAGAGTAATGAAATTAATAACATAGTTATGCATCTTACCTTGTAGGGAATATACATTTCATACTGGTGAGGCCACGTGAATGACAATGCAAAATGTGCTTAAAATCATAGTAATTAGAAACGTTTGTCTCTAAATTTTAGGCGCTGATTGAGTATAAAGATTTTTTGAAGATTAGAATATCCCAAAAGATGATTTGGAGGATTATATTTTCTTATGGATTATATGTATTTTGAGACGCATTTGGCGATTACCTACTAAAGGACTTGCAGAAGAATAGAATGTAATTGATGAAAGAGATTGTAAAAAGCGCACCAGATTCGTACACGTAGCTAAACGTCTCTCGAGGCAGGCTAGCAAAATAAATTCACACGAGTCTTAACCTCGCGTAAGAGTTTTCCGAAACTAGTCTGATTGTGACTATGAATTCAAATACTAACTTTATGCGTCTTTTCAGTGGAGTTGGCCAAATACGACGATTAGATCGCCCGTCATGCGCTAGAGTCGCTCATATGACATCATAAAGATTGAGTTCTACTTATAGCATAATTTAAAATAAACTTTTCAAAACAAACTGGCTACTTTAATAACTCAGTAAGTAATAGAACTATTGGTATTTGCATATAGACTTTCTGATTTTAAGTCTAAAAAATTAGCAGGTAAGATTTGTATCAAACATAAACTCTTCGATAAATGAGAATTAATCCACTTTGTTGGTAATTCATATATAAAAGTTTAATCCATTTCGACAAGTACACAACACAGCTTTGCTTCTTAAGATGAAAGCCATGCTTCTTCAGAAGCATTCCCTTATGCAGGAGTAAATGATCTTTATTTCTCAGGAAATTCATGAGAAAATAAAATAGAACACGCTTCTTTAATCATGTGAGATCCTAGTAGCCACTGAAATATTCTAAGCGTTTAATAAGACAGATCAGCAAGGGAAACAGTTTTCCATGGGAAACTGTCGACAGTTTAGAGTATAAATTTTATTAAAACAAGGAAATTTATGTATTTTAATGCAGAGAAAAATTACTCTTACGGAAGCTACTGTTTTTCATTTAACAATAGTCTTGTTAAAAAAAGGATTTGATTGATGCATACTATCCTTGCGAAAAAAAATTTTGATTGCCACAAAATTTCTATTCAACTTTGAAGTAACGCAGCTTAGGAGTATTGTATAGTATAAAAGCTTTTATTTTAAACGAATGCGTCCAAAATAAGCAACTTCTGCCAGGAATGATAGAACACATCTTGCATTCTTTCCTTTACACAGAGCGAGGCCAATTAGCTGGGAAATGTGGATGAGGAGTAGCTAATTGGTACTGATACCCGCCTAAGTACTTCTAAGGGAGAAGATCCGTAAGTATATTGTGTAAGAAACAGAACAAAAGAAGAGAGGAGATAAAATAGCAGGGTAAGTACCTCACTAAATGCTGTTTTTGTAACTCATTACAACAGACTACGCCCAAGCATTTTGAAATGCAGTGATTCTAACAGTGTCTTGAAGCTGACAAGCAAATAATTAAATATAAAGATTTAAATCTACAGTTTAGACAGGTAAATATTTTTTTAAGGTTATCAGCACCAAATTAATTGATTGCTGAATTTAATTGATTGCTGAATATTTTTTTGCTTAGAGGAGAAGCCGTTTTAATACCATTAGCTGTATGACTCTTGAGGAGTTCCGAGATAATGCTGTAATTTCCTAAAGCTCGTGAAAATAAACGTGTTTCAGTGCAGATTATCTTTGCTTTTGTACTACCTTGAATAAAAAGAGTCCGTTGGAAAAATAGATGATTCTTTCACAGAAAACTATCATTAGATACCTAATTTTGCCTCTGGTTTACTAACAAACGTGTAATTTCGCGAAGTTATAAAAGAAAGTTTCTTAGAATACGGATAAAAGAGCAAGGAATTGAAATACACCTTTTAAGTCCTAAAATGTAGCTGAGACGTACCATATGCATAAAAGGTAGCACTTTTAGAGGTAGATATGGACACTAAAAATTGAGACCTTTCAAGCGACAAACACTTATTCTTCAATAAATTAATCATACAGGAATTGTAATTTGTATTCTATAACTATCTGACCAATCAATCTATGCACAGGTTTCTAAATAGCGAAATAATTGTTTAACTTAATTCGAAAATCATAAAGAAATCTTACATTAAACTATAAATAAATATTTTTTCTACACGTATTGATAGGTTGGTAAGTAAACGATATTCGCATGGCAGACAGAGAGGACAGAAGCAGAAAGTTGACATTTAAATCAGGAAAATCCTGTCATTTATTAAAACACTGAATATTCACCTGTTAAATTTCGTTAATGCTATAAAATCTGAATCCACACTGTTTGACAGAGGAAATGACAAACTTTGAAAGAATTGTCGGAAAGAGACAAAATTTGGCTGGCACATAGACAAGTATGTTGCAAATAAATTATTTTGCCTTTGCCCATTTCTATGAGTTTAATAAAAGGACACGCTTCGTAACGTAACCTGGCTCAATCAAAGTCATATGATTATCAAATCCAGAGGTATATTTAGTAACAAGGCTTGGCCTTGTGTCTTTATATTATCGCATTATTTATTGCCGACCATTTAATAGAAAATAGAGTACGTATTTCCTTTCAAGGGTGTTTGGCAGGGGCACGCAATTGGTTTGGAAAGAATTTATAGAAATTCCTAAAAATTGTTCACGTACAATACGATATTTTTATTTCAGAGATATTTTCTTTGTTAGGCTTGAAAACATTGGTACGAAACCATTGCAGTCTTCCATGAGGAGGAACGAGAAGGGACAGTTTTCTCAAGAGATGGTGGGATTGCTAAGCTGCCTATCACATTTCAAGGTAAGAATCTATGCCCTTACTGGAACTAACAATCTGTGTCGTTACTGTAACGTGCAAATCTCCCTATTGACTTGGATGAATCTTGGTAGCTGTATATATGTTATCGTGAAAGACCGAAATTGGAGAATGTCGACTTTCACCGGAGAATATCAACATTCACCAAATACGTCGGTGAAAGACCGAATATTTCACTACATTCTTGTATATTCGGACCCTCACCGGTGTATGTCGACATCACAGATATGCTCTGGTGAAAGTCGAAAAGAGGGTCATAATGGGCCATAATAGTTTAAATTGTTGCAATAAATAAAGATTTGAATCACATAATTTGTTAATTTAGTAATTTTTTTTATTACTGGTTATTTATTTTCTCATTTAGAACGTACTGTATAATTAAGTAGTTTTTAACTTCTATTATTTTCCTTTCTCATTTTGAATGTATTGTGTGTTTTAGGTTCTCATGTTCTTAAGTTCTCATTTCAAGTTTCAAGTGCGTTTATTCGCGACTGAATTACGGAGAAGAAAATATAATATTGTTATATGTTCTGACCGGTGTAAGTCAGAAATAAGAGTATTTGGAAAATATTTCGGACATACACCAAGAGATCATGTGAATGTTGACATTCACCGGTGAAAGTCGACATTCTCCAGATTTCGGTGTTTCACCGTAACATATACACAAGAAAGCTGCAAGTCCATCAGTTTAGAGGCGCCGCGAACGTCTTCTGTCAAACCTTCCCCAGCCCTACTTCGATGATTAACACTTTGTTTGACCAATGTTTCTTTATATGAATCACAGTTGTTGTCTGGTATTGCGTGTCAGCCAAACAAAGACGCAGAGGCGTCTAATTACGCAGGCCTCTATTGAAAAAACGCAGAGTTATGATGAAAGCTGCGTTGAATGCATAGTTTTGATGATACGAACATTCTCGGGGAAGGAGCGTTTTATCTCTCAAGTCTCAAACCCTCAAACTTATAAAAATGAACAGTAAATGATCTTTATTTTATATTACGGTAATGAAAAACGATATGTCCTTTCATCCCTTCCATTATCACCTCTTTCATTTGGGACTACCATGATTTTCATAACCTTTTCTCAGTCAAGCAGAATATATATATATATATATGTGATATTAGCTTATCAGCTGAAGCTAAAATAAAAAATTCAAATAAAAAATTTTGCGCTTAAAGCTGCGAAAAGGAAAAACTAATTAAAGTAAAAAGAACAAACGAAAAAAGACCTATGTGGTCAAAAACTTTGCGCAACTTTGCATTGTTCTGCAAAATTTCGAAAAAAGTTAAAGGAAAATTCCTAGTTCGTACGCTAAAAAGTTTCTTAAATACTGTGGTTTCGTGAAAATATTAACATAAGCAAAAGGTGCAATTAAATGTGTTACAAAGATAAAATAAACAATACAAACACTTGAATATTTACAAATAAAAATCAATGCTAATAGTAAGCAATATGCTAATCAAAGTAAGGCATATTTAAAACATTAGAATAAAGTACGAACAAATGATTTAAGCAAAAATATAAAAACTAAGAAGCGGTAAATGGTAGATTAGCCTAATTCGAATCTCATTATAGCTCTTTAGGGGAAACTATTTTTAATGAATTTCGAATCAAGCTAACTCCATATCGCGTTTCGCCGAAACAGACAATTGAAACTGTATACGAAACACTTTTTATAAATTATTTGAAAAACTTTGCCACAATCTTTAGTCTCAATTCTCTGTTCCAATTTCCCGACGCGTCCGCTTGAAGAAACACATTAAGGTGTAATAAAAACTATAGATAATGGAATGGTAATGCCGATGAACAAAATAAATAAATAGCGATTTGCCTATTAGTCAGAATATACAAGATTTTATGGGAGGACCTACTAGCTTATAGAGTTTATACTTTGTAAAAGTACCAAAAATTAAATTTAAAATTTAAAATAATAATAATAAAACAGAGGAATTTAAGTAAGGGTCTTGTCAAGACCAAAAATCTATATAAGAGAAAGAAATTTTTTTAAAAAAACTAGACCTGGAGAGGCGCCGTCTTCATAGTAGTAAGATCAAACTCAAAAGAGGGGTGGAAGCCTCGAGTAAGCAAACTGCTAACCAAATAAGGCAAGATGATGTAAAAAGGGGGAAAAGTTATGAGGAAACAGCCAATGAAAAGTGACTGACCGTTGGCAAAAACCTGACTCAGTGAAAGGGGGTATATATATATATATATATACGTGTGTGTGTGTGTGTGCGAAAGATTAAGTGGATCGCAAGCATATGCAATGGAAACATCACGTTAATAACGGATAGGGTTCACTCTAGCTGAAATGCCTGCTTGACAACGGCCAGTCAAGCTGTCAATAGTGTGGTTGATCGCTTGCTGTGGCAGTAGTGCTCATTCTTGTAGTAATGAATGGCGAAGTTGGTGTAGGATGCCTGATTTCGTACTGCGACCTGCTCCGTCTTCCCAACATGTCCCACACATGCTTTATGGGATTCAGATCCGGTAATGTAGCAGGTCACGGTAGATGTGCAATAGTATTACTCTTCGGAAAACTCCTCCTCATCCGAGCTCTATGCGGGCAGGCATTATCGTCCAAAACCTGCACATTGCAGTGGTAAAACAACGCACGGGAGGGTGTAGAATTATGTCACGATATCAACCGGCTGTGATGAAATCACGTAGAGGTCGGCGCGGCTGTTCGTTGATATCTGAGCTCCTACAAATAAGTCTTCTCCTCGGCAATAGTCTCTTTCGTCGATGTCCTGGTGCCCGATAACGTGTGCCTGGCTCTCGCCATATCATTGATCTTCGGGAAGTGATCTGGATGTTAAATCGAGACTTGTCCATGAAGAGTGCATGGCTCCACTGCTCTGGTGTCCATGTACGATGTTCCCGGGTACAATTGCACAGAGCTCTGAACACGTGATGGGGACAAAGGAACACAAAATACAGGTGGTCAGGCGTATAATCCAACGCCATGCAGTCGATGGAGCACAGTTTGTCGGGATATGGGCCTTCCTGCAACAGTAGAAAGATGTGATGCTGATATAAAATGCATGTTTCTATTCATCTTTTACATTTGCATATTTTCTTTTAGCGTTTGTTGCTTATGTTTTGTGCACGAGTGGATATATATATATATGCATTCTGTACATATATTCTATAAATCGAAGGAGTATAATATATGCAAAATGGTTCATGTTTCAAAATAGTTGCATGTGAACACTTGCTATTACATGTAAGTAATTAATGCAGAGAAAATGATAAAATCAAAGCAATTTTTTTTAATCGAGATAAACAACATAGCTTAGGTTAAAACTCTGAATCCTTAGGCAAATGACGTCACACATTATAAACGTACGCCATTAATTAGAGAGGGTTTCGAAGCTCTGAGTTAGCAACGTGGTTGGATTAAATCTAGCAACCGATGCGTTGCGCGTATCTTAATGACGTATTGGTACTTACGCCTATAAGGGCTAACTAGATGACGTTATCGCAACCTCTGCCAATTTGGATTGTCATTAATTTAATTTAAATTTACGGTCGCTCTGTCAACATGTTTCTGTTTGAAACTGGAATATTTGTGTTCGGGTAATGAACTGAAACATCTTGTTTATAAAAATATTTGTAACCGAAGAAACGAAAAAAGACATATTAATAATAAGAAAAAATAACTGACATATAAAACTATAATGTTTAATTGAGGTAATAAAGTACTTTTAAATTAATTCTTATCCGCGTCTTCTTCTTTCGTCATTCTCCTCCAGAGTGCAAATTAATTTGAGTTTAAATACCGAAAGAAACTGTTATTTAGGATTAGTATTGTGACAACCACTTTGTACAGCCTGTTAGCCTGAGGGAAAAGGCTTATCACCTAGAACATCAGCTGACGGGTGCTAAATTTTGAATTTAGTTGAGTGAAGGGTTAAAATCTCCGAGTTAGTTGCAACTATCAAGATATAAGCCAATGTAAAATCTCAGAAAGAAGTATAATAAGCACGTTAATTAAATTTTACGTCTTATATATTACTGAATTGTAGGATTTCTGTTATGTTTGGACTTTCAAAATCAAATACGAAATGCTTTAAAACTGCGCATTAGAAATTTACATTACAATATAAATATCACATTTTATTCATTATATACAAAGTTAGCCTAAAAGAAATGCACAGATTAAATGCTTATACCCGGGAAAGTGTTTGTTTTTATCAGAAAGCATCTAATGCTGTTTTGTAGAGAAACACTTTAAGTTTTTGACTTCCCCTTTTATTAGTCTCATGACATCAGCATAACAGGAGAGCTGTTGACGTCTGGTGGCATATATGTCCATTAAGCAGACAGAAAAAGCTTTTCACGCTATATATCAGGAAAATGGGGAAAGATTCGAGCCTGAATCCAGTTAATATTGCATTTTCGGCCACTTGTGTTCCTATTTGAAGCGATACATCAACATTTTTTTGTTGCTGTTGTTGATTAATAAATAATTAAGATCAGTGACATTAGTGTTTGAACAATTAAAATGTATGTTGCTGTTGTTTAAAGTTCTAAATGTAGAAATTTAAATCAGATATATTATGTAATTTTGAAATACAGAGAAAATATCAACTGTAGGGTATTACTATTAATTTTCACTGAACAGTTATTTTATGTTTTGGATATTTAATGTGACTTCTCATTTCCATTTCCATACCAGAATGTAAATGAGGGAAAAACAGATAGTATTTAAAGTAAGGCTTCCTCGGTTTAATTCAGAGAGTGTTCCGCCTCTCTAGGCCACATTACTAGGTTGCTGCTACCTGAGATACGATTTGTAGTCTTCGGCCTTGTATTATAATTGCTGATATTGGGATATCTCCTCCAGGTAGATTTGTGAGCCAACTTCGTGGTAAACTGAATTGTGTAGTCTTTGACTACTAACGTATTTTAAACTTGAACTTACTGTTATTTTAATTTATCTCGCCACAAATGGTTGGCTGAATTATAAGCACGAGAAGTGCAT